CCTTCTCACTGAGGAAGGCGGGCGGGGGGCGGGGCTGTGCGGGTCACGTGGGGGAGGAGGGGCGGGGCAAACCGGGCCGGGGCACGTGGGCGCGCACGCCGAGCGCTCCTGCGCCGGCCGTTAACCGCAGTTAGAGCGGCCGTGAGGAGAGGACTCGGTGACTACGCGCGGGAGCTCGGCCCGGGTGGGACGGGCCGGCTCCTCTGGCGTTACCTCCGCGGTCGCAGCATCTTTGTCTCGGAGAGCACGGCCCTGGGAGACCATGTCTCCCCTGAGGGCGACGGTACCGCCCCAAACCCTGTCCGCTTCCGCGCGGAGCGGTGCTCCCGGACGCCCTCCCCGGAGCCGCCTCAGGCGCCGGCTCTTCGCCTGGCGACCGCGTCCGCGGGGCTCCGCTGTTCCCGGGGGGCCGCGTCCTGCTCCTCGCCGTCCATTTCCGTGCTGCTCGACCCTCGGAGAAGCCCGCTGTGGCTGTCACCTCCCGGCTCCCAAGCCTCTTGGTCATACGTAGTAACCTGTTCTCTCCCTGGGGAGATGGGGGTGGGGGGCAGCCCTCGCGTTATCCTGATCCCCCCATCCCATAACCGATTTCCTGCCTAGGGAACCCCTTGAGTTTCTTTTCTGTCCTCCCTCCAGAATGCATTTCTTGCAGCCTCCCCCCCACCCCCTTTCCCTGCTCCTTCCCAAGAAGAGGCTGAGACCGTCCCCTTTCCGTTCCCTTCATTGTTATTTTTTTTTTTTTCCTTCCATATTTCGCAACCGCCCCAAACCCTCTCGTCTTCCCCGTCTTCCTTTGGGATTCTCGTGCCCACACTGTAAGCGACTTTCTCTGACTTCACTAACGGGGCGGCCGGGGACATGAACGGTTTGGTGGGGATGGGATTGGGACCCACCTGCCTGCTGGGTCCGGAGGAAGCGAATGCCGAGTTCTGTCTGAGCGAGGGGGGTCCCGCCCCGACGACCGAGGACCGAGGGGGCCGCGCGTGACGATGGCTTATTAGAGTGGAGGCCGCTCGAGGAGTTGGGGTGTGGAGTCGTGGGATCGGGTTCGCGCCCCACCTAACCCCTCCAAAAGGGATTGGCAGACGAGGAGCCGTATATTGAGCTAGAAATCAACCTGAGCAGGTAAGTGGGGCCGGCCAGCCCGTGGAGGGCTCCAAAGAGAAGAGTCTGAGCTGAGCGACCTGTGATAAGGAGGGAGGAGTCTGCAGCTTCTGGAGCAGGACAGAGATTCCGTGCAAGGGGAATTGTGGAAAGTAATCAGGACAGGTTGAAAAGGAAAGGGCTTGGGCTTCAGGGAAATCAGAGGATGCTGCAGTCCGGTCGTGCGTAGCAGAACCCTACGCTTCATTCAGCGGCCGTCTCCCCTTCCACTGCCCTGTCCTCTTGAGTTTGAGTTGGGGTTGAGCTGTACAAGTCAAGATGCACCATTGGGCCCTGACTTGTTTGGCTCAGTGGATAGAGCGTCGGCCTGCGGACTCTAGGGACCCAGGTTCGATTCCACTCAAGGGCATGTACCCTGGTTGTGGGCACATCCCCAGTGGGGTGTGTGCAGGAGGCAGCTGATTGATATTTCTCTCTCATCAATGTTTCTAACTCTCTATCCCTCTCTCTTCCTCTCTGTAAAAAATCAATTATATATAAAAAACCAATTTTATATATATATATATATATATAAATTTTTAAGATGCATCATTGGCTGCTGCTGTTGAATTGTGAGTCCCTTATGGACTCATTCAGTTTTTTATTCCCACATCTGGCACAAGGGTAACGTCGGAGATTCATTAGATGAAATGCATCATAGACGTGCGGAGTGTGTCTGAACATTTTGATGTCTTCTGTCACTTTTTTTTTTTTAATCTTTATTGTTCATATTATTACACAGGTTCCTCGTTTCTTCCCCCCTCCACAAGGTTCCCACCCCACCCTCTGCCCCCTCATCCTCATCCATTGGTGCACAGTTTATGTTCAGTCTCTTCCTCCCTCTCTTTCCCCGATAGTAAATCCCTTTTCAGATAGCAAATCTGTTACTTAGCATTTTCTCATATCAATAATACCTCCACATGCCCAATGATACACTTCACACAAAAGACATTTCCAAATAGGTCAACCAGCCTCATCCAGGCCCCACCCAAGGCACTCACAGATCAACACCCCAGCACTATACTAACTCAACACATCCAGATCTAAGCCTTCATCACTTGATTCAGCAGACCCTCAAGTTCCCGCAAAAGTTTCCAGCCATGTCTGAGAGGCAGCCGTGGGGCAGGGGCAGGTGAGGAGCGAGCTGTTTTGGGCCAGGCTGCTCCGGGCCTGGCCTCTGTTGCTCTGGTTCGTTCCACAACCAGCTGCTCCGTGTCTGGTCACTGCCGCTCCCGACCCAGTTGCTCTGGACTTGGCTGTTGCTGCTACAGGCCTGGCCACACCTGACTCGGCTGCTCTGGGCCCAATTGCTCCGGGCCCGGCCGCTCCGGGCCTGGCCACTCCAAGCCTGGGAGCCGCTGCTCCGGGCCTGGCCGCACCAGACCCAGCTGCTCCGGGCCTGGCCGCTCCCAGCCTGGCAGCCGCTGCTTCGGGCCTGGCCGCACCCAGCCTGGCAGCCGCTGCTCCGGGCCTGGCCACACCAGACCCGGCTGCTCCGGGCCTGGCCGCTCCCAGCCTGGCAGTTGCTGCTCCGGGTCTGGTCACTGCCACTCCCGACCTAGTTGCTCTGGACTTGGCTGTTGCTGCTACAGGCCTGGCCACACCCGACCCGGCTGCTCTGGGCCCGGTTGCTCTGGGCCCGGCCGCTCCGGGCCTGGCTGCTCCCAGCCTGTCAGCCGCTGCTCCTGGCCTGGCTGCACCAGACCCAGCTGCTCCGGGCCTGGCCGCTCCCAGCCTGGCAGCCGCTGCTCCGAGCCTAGCCGCTCCCAGCCTGGCAGCCTCTGCTCCGGGCCTGGGCACACCAGAGCCGGCTGTTCCAGGCCTGGCCGCTCCCAGCCTGGCAGTCGCTGCTCCGGGTCTGGTCACTGCCGCTCCCGACCTAGTTGCTCTGGACTGGACTGTTGTTGCTACAGGCCTGGCCACACCCGACCCAGCTGCTCTGGGCCCGGTTGCTCCGGGCCCGGCCGCTCCGGGCCTGGCCGCTCCCAGCCTGGCAGCCACTGCTCCTAGCCTGGCTGCTCCCAGCCTGGCAGCCACTGCTCCGGGCCTGCCCGCACCAGACTCGGCTGCTCCGGGCCTGGCCGCTCCCAGCCTGGCAGTCGCTGCTCCGGGCCTGGCCGCACCAGACCCGGCTGCTCTGGGCCCGGTTGCCCCGGGCCCGGCTGCTCCAAGCCTGGCCGCACCCGGGCTGGATACTTTGGGCTTGACTTCTGCTGTTCTGGGCTTGGTTGCTCCCAACCCGGCTGCTCTGTGCCCGGCTTCTCCGGGCCCGGCCACTCCGGGTCTGGGTGTTCCTGGACTGGCCACCCTGGGCTTGGCCACCTCTGCCTCAGGCCTGGCTGCCACTGCCCCAGGTCTGGCTGCTCCAGTGCTGGCCGTTGATGCTCTGGTTCTGGCTGCTGCTGCTCTGGGGCCTGGCCACTGCTGCTCCGGGCCCGGCTGCCACTGCCTTGTGCCTGGCCACTCTAGGTCTGGTCGCCGCTGTTCCAACATTCTGTCCCTTTTTCTTTCTTTCTTTCTTTCTTTTTTTTTTTTTTTTTTTTTTTTAAAAAAAACGCATTTATGTTGCAATGTTGGCTGGTGAGTTGAGTTCTGACTTAGTCTTTGATTTTTCAAGATATTCTTTGCATTCTTTCTTAAGTAATTTTACTATCATTTGCTCTCACTTGATTTCTTCACATTGAGAACTTCTATGGTTTCTTCCTCCCCGTCCTGGAATCTCAGCAGGTTGGCCTGTGGCACCCCTTTGTTCTCCGCAGGCTCCTGCGCTGCTTCAGCCTGTCGCCAGGGTTGGCGCCGCCCAGGAAGCATCCCCGGTCCTTGGCTCCGTTGCCTGCGCTCAGCGGTCAACGGCTCAGGGGCACCCCCCCCCCTGGGGGCCCCGTCGCCCGGCTCCTTGCTGGCGCCTGGCTGGCCAGTGTCCAGCGGGGGCTCCTGCTCCTCGTCACGATCCTCCAGTCTGGAGCTTGCTTTCTCTCTCCCGCTAGGGGAGTCCAGGATCAGAGTCAACAGACTGTCCTCTACACGCACTGTGTGCGACTCCAGGGGCTCGGCCTTTCACTGTGCTCCCAGGACTCCACCTCACAGCCCTGTCTCCCCCTGCCCAGCCTGGGTCACCAGGGACTGGCCCAGACCGGGAGTTCCGGGCGGTCTGGTCTGAGGCTCAGCGCCGCCAGAGGCTTTGTTTCTTCTGGCTAGGGTAATCCAGCATTAGAGTCTACATTCAGTCCTCTGCGCACAAAGTGCGCGCGACTCCGGGGCCCCCCCGCCTTTCGTTTTTCCCCTGGGATTCAGCCTCCCAGCCCCGTCTCACCCTGACGGAGCCTGGGTCCCCAGAATCTGGCCCATAATGGGGCTCAGCGCTGCCGGTTCGGGGGTTCAGCCCAGGCTGGGGGTTTTATTTCCTTCCTGCTAGGGAACGCCAGGCAGCCTCCAGCCCTCTCCTCCTCTCCGTCTGCGACCTCTCGGTGCGCGCGTACGTGCGAGCGCGCAGCATGTCTCCGTACCTTAGGCTTTTTTTTCAGCTCCTCTGATTTTCCTTCTGGTTTTCTCCCACCTTCCTATTGTAGAGTTTTCAGTCAGTCGACTACCTGTAGGTCTGGGTAATGTCCACTCTACATTTTAGTTGTATTCCATTGAAATTGTTGTGAGCTGCTGCGGTTAGGTGTCTACCCGAGCAGCCATCTTGGATCCTCTCCTTCTGTCCCTTTTTTTTTTTTTTTAAGAATGGAGTTATCTGTGAAGAGTAGGAAAGAAGTTGTGTGTGTGTTTCTGTAATAAGACAGGGGACTGGGATAGAAATGCAAAAAATTACAAGGGAGTTTGGGAAGCAACTTCTCTCTCTCCTTCTGCCCGCC